AAATTATCCAATCTCCTGATAAAGGAACTAAATTTTCATATTCACATTTTATAACTTTAAAAATGTTTTACTGCTGTCAAATTTTAAATAAGATATACCTGCAATATGAAATGCATTAGTAAGGAAAAAATATAATAACCAGTCATATTTAAAATTTTTATTTTTTCCTATAAAATTTTTATTGTAGTTTTAATAGGGAAAATTACACTTCAAGTTCATTGATAGATCAATTCTTATTTATTCACTTAATTTTGGCGACATGTATTTGAATTCTTTTGTAAACTATAAAGTGTAAAGAGTTAATTCCCTTAATTATTGATCAACTACAGAGTAATTTCCCTTAGTATATACAATAAATTAAACTATTGAAAAAAAAAGAAATTATTTGGACAAAAGATAACCTTAAACACCAGCTTTTACTACTTTTCTATTTTATTATTTTACTATTGCACTATGATGATCTCAGAGATTTCTACACAAAAAATTCATAAATCAAACTTCTGACAATATTAATGGTCTCTAAAATAGAGCCAAGTCCATCATAAGATCTAATAAAACATATTTTGCTTTTCAGTTATTAGTGTGATACAATCTACAAAAAAATAAAAACCTAATCTAATATCACCAAAATTGATGCCTAAAAGCAAAATCATTCAAACACTGAGAAATGATCTGATCTTCCCTTTTTAAGTACAATAGTGAAGTGTGATCTTTTTTTATTCAGTAAGTAAATGAACCTGTTTGGGTTGCTCATTTTTTCCCCTCATAACTACTGATCTATCAAAGTATTGCCATAAATAATTCCATCTAATGATAATATTCAAAGTTGGGAAACCTTTATTTCTATATTTAATATTACAGTATAGCAGTTTACAATTGTTTAGATGTTTTGTTTCTATTAAAGTGAATATTTGAAAATAAAGCATGAAAAATCTATTCATGCCATTTTGATTCTATAAAAATGTCAAAACTTTAGAATTAAATTATATCGTACCTCGTTGATAAAAATAAAAAAGGAACAGGTTCTATTACTATATCTAATAATGGATTATAATACATCCTGCACATTATTACATTTAATATTCATTAGTATTATGGTGTTAAGTTAAATATCAGCAGTTTACCAACCAGACACATCAACTTTGCGTATAAGACCTTGTTATGCATGACTGGTTATTAGATTTCTTTTCAGTTATTTTTTATGAAAAATGATAAGGTTTTAATAAAATATTCATTTTCCAATTAATATTACTTTATTTTAATTTCAGTTCCTTTTTATTGCAACTCACATTCCAAAATCATCAATAAACAACACAAATTAGAAATAAACAATAAATCTCCAGCAAGATGACTGATTCATCAACAAATTGTATATTTGTAACATATATGTGTGCATAGAACAAAATCTCTTACTACCATAGCTGATGCCACAACATATTTGTAATGAAAATAGAATAATCTCATATTGTAACAATGACAATATTATGCAATAATCTTATAGAGAAAGGATAAAAAATTCCAGTTCCTAACCTTTAATAACTGATATTCTAAATATTTAATCTAATTTCTTCATTTCTTTTTCTTCATATTTCTGTACATTCATGACTCAAAAGAAATAGTAAAAGTCTGTATGACAATATTTTGATATTTATTGAAACCAAGCAGTTTGGTACAAAACTAGATTTATGGAACATCCAGTGAAAAATGAACATTTTAACAGCAATGACAGCAAAGAATGGAGAATGCTAATCATTGTTCTATTTCAGGTATTCTTGATAGATGTTCATAGAAAGGATGTATTTCTTAATAGATGTTCATTGAAAGGATGTATTTCTTAATAGATGTTCATTGAAAGGATGTATTTCTTAATAGATGTTCATAGAAAGGATGTATTTCTTAATAGATGTTCATTGAAAGGATGTATTTCTTAATAGATGTTCATTGAATATACTATTTGCCAATGAACATATTATCTTAAAAAACATGCAAGTCTTCTGAAGAAAAACAAACAAAAAAAGAAATCAAAGCTCTTCACTTTTCTGACATGAAGATAATGAAAGAAAATAAAAACATTATCAAATTGAAAATATCAAACAAAGAATTTTTCTGAGTAACAAAAGTTTATTTTAGAGGCGGACAGAAATAGAGAGCACAGAGCAATTCATGTGAGTTATGCACAATTTGCTTGAAAAACTTCAGTCATGACCCAATTTGAAATATCACTAATTTTTATGTTGACTAAATTTACATGCTGATCCTTTGAAAGGAAATTAAACTTCATTATACAAAATTTCTTACTGAGAAGAGTCAGTTTTTGTACAAATTCAACCATATTTCTTTTTGTTAATGGCTAATGTAGAAAGTAAGTCAAGAATGAACGAAAAAGAAAAAAAAAATTTTTTTGAAAATCAAGTGTTATCTCATTTTCAGATTAATTGAATTATTTTCTCAGGTTTCATATGATTTATCTTCAGTCATTGATTTGATCAAAGACATATAAAATAATTATGAGGATATGCTGAATCCACTTTTCAAAATCTGATCAAACATCAGAGTTTATTCTAGAAGGGCTTCTTGGTTAGGTTGAGAACTTTTCAACACCTATTTGTTTTAGTCAACCTGTTTATCATGTATCCTGCATGTTACAGCTCATTACTGATTGGTATTACCATTTGTTGTTAAGAGGACAACCTCAAATTGTTTGCTGCTTATCATAAAATATAAAGAAAACATTATTATTATAAACATATTTAAAGCAATATCTCCATATTGGTTGGAGCAATATCTCCATAATGTTTGTCATAAATGAAATAGCAATAGAAGTGGGGTAAAGATCAGGCAAGACTTAGAAGGTAAAAGGAAAAAAATAAACCAGATCTTTGTTTGTGTGTTATGTGTGTAACTTATTTTGGTTTTAAAATATTTAAGTTTTTAATATTTAATAAGTACAATACAATCCCAAATTTATCCATTTATCAAATATAAAATAACAAAAAATTCTATATCCATGATGTCATCAAAGAAAAGAAGAATCCAATACAGAGATGGGAAATTCCCCCATGTCTGTGTAGTGAACTCTTCTGATGTAAAAATGTGTTACACCTGTGCATCAAGTATTATATATGTTGATTTTAAAAACCTATTTTTTTAATAATCATATTCCAACAAATATCTTAAATGAAAAATTTAGAAAAAGCAGATAAAAATGATTTAATTTTTTATTAAAAATTGGGTAAATAAAAATTAAACTGAACCTCAACCAACTTCTGTCAATTGGAATTCTAAAAATATTTCTAATTAGGGTTGGATAAGGTAAAAAAGCATAATCCTCTTTATTACGAATTTTCAAATCCAACAGATTTAACAATTATCATTTTCATTGATTCCATTCTAAATTGAAGAGAAAACATTGTCTACATTACATTGAGTTTATAAACCTATATTATTGTATACCTGCATCACTATATTGTATTTTAGACACAAATATTTATATCTCTATTAGAAAGTATTAGTTCCTTGCATTTTTTCTTTTTTCTTTTCTGGCAACCACTTTGAAAGAAGTCTAATCTGAGAGAATATAATAAATTATTACATCCACAATTGATTCTTTGCTTTTTCTTATTAATTTGCATTATAAAGAAAAAATAAATACATTGGAAATGCAAGATTTGCATATCCAAGTGCAGTAAATTATAATCATGACTGTAGTTTAACAATTCAATCATTTTGCAATATTTAAATTCAAAGATTTAAAGTTGTCAATTATATTTAATGTTATAAAAAGTATTTTTGAAAATATTAACATTTCAACATTGAATAATTCAAAAAATTAATAAAAAAATAAAATTAAGCAATATTTCACACTAGTTAACAAATTTATGTATTTTCATGTATCCAGATGCAATGCTTTTTTAATACGATTTTAAGTATCTTTAAATTTTAAATGTTTTAAAAATGCATGTCAGGTTACGATAAGAAATTTTACTCAGGTTTCTTCTTTTTAAATTGACATTTATTACATTGATTGCTGCCTCAGAATAAACTTGATTATTTAATATTTAAAGTACTCTTTATGGATAAAAAAAGAAACCATATCACAAATTCCATATCATACTTCTTAATTTACCAAAACTAAGTTTAATCACTTCTATGTTTTTTTCTTTTTCTATTATATAAAAATGGCCGGCTGGATAAAATTAGATGAATTAATGTTAAAAGCAGGAGAATGTTTCTCCTCAAATATGAAAGGCACAAATTTTGTATGAAAAAATCACATTTAATTTAAATGTCTAAAAAAGGCCATATACATTAAAAGGAGCAGAAAATTTAAAAAGATTACTTCTTGTATTTGTCACATCTTCAAAAAGTATCTCTTTTTTTAAACATGACAGCATAAAATGTTTTAAAATGTTTTCATAAAAATACAGGCCAAATGCCTTGAAATTCATAATGAATTTGTAATAATTACATTATATATATATATATATATATATATATATATATATATATATATATATATAAACACCTGTTAATTATATATACAAGTGGGAAGTGAATTCTATTTGACATTCATGCTCATTCAGATGTGGTTTTGTTCAGAAACTGACTGTTTGCCATTTGAACAAGTTTTAAAATACTTGCCCTCATCTAAAAAAATAATTTAAATGTTTTATATTTGTTTTGACTTATTTTGTACTTACTTAAAAAAAACAACTATTGTTGCTGCCAAAAATACATATTGAAGATGTGAAAAAATGAATAAATGGACCTCTTCAAAAATTTTGCTTTTAAAACTTGTTGCAAATAATTTCAAAATTTCTTTACACATCAAATTGTTTTTCTTATTTGAGTAAAATTGAAAAGTTTTTTTTTTCTATGAGCTGAAGCATAATATTAAAAGGCTTTTCCTAAATGAAATACATGGGAGCACATACATTCATCAACCCAAACAGATAATATATAATAAAAAAGCTTCCATTAATTCTTTGATTATATCAGAATCAGGGCTGAACAGAGGCCTTAAATACATTTTTAATTGCATTGATAATTGGGAACTTTTTGCCATTGATACCTCTCGGGTCATCTAGGGTTAAGGTCCACACACCAGCACCAGCCAATTTATTCACAAAGTATAAAGCCTGGAAATAAGAAATAAAAATACAATACTTTAATAGATTATCCAAAGTAGATTAATTTATTTTTAAATATTTTCTTTTTAGAACATCATCAGTTAATTCGTTTATAAAATAACTTTTGATCTTTGACTGAACCAAAAATTATCTTAACACAACAGAACAAAAGTCTATCACAAACTGCTTATGCAGTGAAGCCTCAATTTTGTGGGATTATTTATGATTTTAATAATTTCTGTTAAATATGGAGCTTTTATGAATATTATAAGGTGGAAATACTCTTCATTTATGAAGTAAAACATATGCTTCAAAACGTAAATATTGAGTGGGAAAAATGGATCTGGCAAAGCTTTTTAATAATGATTGTTGACTAGAATTCAGTAGAAGCAAATTTTTGGATATGTTGGGATTTTTATAGATTATATTTATTTATTATATTTATTTATATATTATATTTATATTATGTAATTGCATATTAAAAATAATTACATAAATACATTCATCTTTTCTAAGAGATTTTTTTTCAAAATCTTTATTTAAGAAAACGTATTTGTGAATAAAAGATTATAGCAGATTATTGTGTATTATTTCAAGATAAAAAGTGTATCACAAAGACATTTGATAAAACATGCTGAATATAGAAAAATAACATTTTTTTAACATCAATAAAAAATTTTAAAATTCTGTGACAAACTTTGTTAAGATATAAATATTTTGGCATTTAGGAAAATTAGGATGATCTTTATTCAAATTAACTGCTATTATTAAATATGCAAACATGCAATTTTAATGACTGAAACTTTACAGATTAAATCTAATAACCAAGTACAAATATGCAATTCAAAAGTTGTTTGGCCAATTGAAATTATTCTTTATGTTGCTATTAACCAAACATTTCTGCTATTTTTTATTGCAGTCTTATTTATTAGAAAATAGTGTTAAACAAATAAACCAATTGATTCATTCCCCGCAACCTGAGTCAAATAGATGCTTCCATTCTTAGCAACCTGTGTGAGGATTCAGTGTACATTTCTTTTCAGCAAGACAGTCAAAGCCTCTAAAACTGAGAATAGTTTTTAAGTTTAGATGTGTAGAATCAGATTCCTACATTTTTTTAAATCTTAAATTTTGTGCAAGTTAAACACATAGAGGCTCCCAGCCAAATATAACAACTGATGTATTTTGATTGGTTGTAAAATATTAATTAGGTGTCGTCAACTACATCCGAAGGTACCGACCCAAATTTTGACCTCTAGTTGACGCCATAAAATGTAAACATGTTTACGAGCCTCCCCACGTGACCAAGAGAACTAATAAAAACGAAACTTCGACGCGACTTGGTCAGTGGGCACTTAAAATATTGAACCAATTCACTTGACTTCATTGGAAATCAACACAGCAAAGGAGACGAACTTTATTTTCAATACAACAACAAACTTTGTCAACCATCTCCAGGCTTAACACTCACTCCCACAAAATATTCCATTCCACAAGAATCTCTGGTTAATGAGCGATAACAATCAGTGAGTCAAGAACAATACTTTTTTTTTTTATTTAATACACAAAAAAACATCTGTTTAATTTTCCTATAAAAATAAATATAGCTAACTAAACCTTGTCATTTTCACACATACAGTACAGTAGCTCAAATTCTTTCAGTAACACACACACCAAAGAACTCTATTGTGTTTATCAACTTTTGCACTATATATTATGTATTTGTTGTGTTAATAAAAAAATATTTATTGTTGAACAAATTCACATTTTCTTCTACTTGATTATTTCTCTTGTTGCATTTGGTAAAAATTGTAGAGGGTCAGTTTTTATTTCTATTTATAACTAATACAAATTGGCTGACCCACTATAGATGTATTTGTCAGAATTGTTCTTTAATGTGATTCCAATATGCAAAACTTTAAGAAAGTTGACATAAAAAACTGCTTTTCATCTGAATATTCTATATGACATATTTGCATTTATTTCAATCTCTTTATAATATATTTTTTTTAAAAATCTGACTGACACCTATATACCTCAATTCTATAATAGCAGCAACAGCTGCCATTTTGAAAAATACTATTAAAAGATTTAAAGAAATAAAGCCACACAAAGTTTTGACAACCAGAAGATTTTTGTCAGTATTTTTGTTTTGTATCCAACAAAACAAAAATATTTTCTCACCAAAATATAAAGTCTGTAAAATATTTTCCATTCATGTGCAGTTTACTTGTATCTTTAATTTTAATAAAAATCAAAAATATTATTCAGTTTCATGGATTCTTCACATTAATTCCTTTAAATACAAATATTTTCACAATAACTAATTTCATTGAGACACTGATTTCTTGGAAGCCTTAAGAGAAGTTTTAAAAATTTTTTAAAATGTTAAAAAAAAAAAAAAAGAAGATACCAACTTTCCTTCTTGCACTTTCTTCATCTTCATAAGTGCACCAAAGTTTGTCTTTGTATAAATATGGAACAGCACAATTTTCATCCCAAATTCTTGTAGCACCATTCTTAAGAGCAAGGCAGGACTGAAAGAAAATCATTTTGAAGAAAATGAATAATGTATTTCAAGGATCTGGAAAGAAAATTACAGTTTCCACTAATAACTTTTTAGCAGAGAACAATAAAAGGAAAATCTTGAAATATACTCAGTCTGTTAAAAAAAAAAAAAAAAAAAATCATTAAAGTCAAATTTACTGTTACACTAATTAAACTTTCTTCAAAAATAAATTGAAAATGCTTTCTGTGTGTGTGATCTGTCTCATAACTGAAAAAAAGTTTGTATTTCCAACTAAGATTGAAACCCAAGTAAAATAAATCTTACTTATTATAAAACGCAGGTTGTGTGTGTGTGTGTGTGTGTGTGTGTGTCTGTAACGTTTATATATTGGATCAAATTTCCTACATTTTTTAGCCGATTTCAACAAAACTTCACAGGACTACATAAAATTACCTTGTGGTGGTTCTAACGGCACCGAAAATGGGAAAAACACAATTGTTTTTTAACAAAATCAATTTGAAAACACGATTAAGACACATCGTGAGAATGAAAGGGGGACAACTCACCCACAAAAATGTAAACAAAAGAGCATAGCATGATGAAAAAAAAGCTGAACTTGACGAAAACAAAATTTTATCATCTAATGTTCATATTATTATTAAAGAGGAAAGATCAAAGTATTTTTGGGGTATTTTTTTACATTTTTTAATCGTTCCTAGCACGTCTGAAATTTTCGTTAAAAGTATTGTTTTTTTGGGGTCAAAAAAAAGGACAGATAATCAATCATTTTCAATCATTTTTTTCGATTTGATAAAAAAGATTAAAATCTGACTTTGATATTCTTTTAAAAATCAATTATCATTTTTTCAAAACTGATTTTAATAAAAACAGAAATTATACTGTTTATTTAAAATATTTTGAACCAAGCTTAACTTAGCTTCTGCGCGAAAAAAATGTAATTTGAAAATAAAACAAAGCAGGTCATAACCTTTCGCGATCGCTTGACGATTGACAAAGGCACATTCATGACGTTTAGATAACTTACAGGAGGATAATTCTTTCTACGGATGGAAGGAAGTGAAATTATTTAAGTGAACAAATTATTTACCTCGTTACCTTAAGGAAAACTTTCAGCGCTCTAATTTTTTATTTTTTTTTTTTTTTTTTGTACTTAGCTTTCATTTTTATGTTTACGATGCTTTATGGAAAATATAAAGAAATTAAAAAATAAGACTGTTAATAGTGAGATTAAATTTCATAAGAAAAAGGTATCTAATTAATTTAGGTACCTTTCTTATGAAATTTTATCAGAAGTGTACATAAAATACTATAATTTTATGTACATTTATTACATTTTACTGTGTTATTTGTATTTCCATTCATTTTATTATTAATTTTGATATTTCATTTATGGAAAAATGTCATAACTGAGATTAATATAAAAATAAGATCATATAAATTTTAGCAGTAGTTAAATTTCATAAGATGATACTGTTACTTGTAGGTACCCTTCTCAGTTGAAATTGAAAACTCAAATTAACTTCTCCATACCTGTTTCAAAAAGTAAAGGGCTTAACAGCGGAGAACAATGCTGAACTCAAATAATGCAACTAAATTGTATTCTGGTTGGCCTTCCGTACTTGATAATTACTGTCCGACTATAAACACAAAAATTACATTTCTTAATTACCATGGTTAATCTGATTGGTCCAAATTATACAATTTTCAAAGCGCTAGACAATGACAATCTCACACGGACATTTTGAAAGGTTGATGTTGCTTTTAACTAATGTTAAAATATTTTTAAAAATTCAATTTAAAATTTTTTTTTAAATCTTTTTAAAATTAAAGAAATAAGAAATAATTGTATTAAAAATTCAATTTTCATTGAAAAAATTTTTTGCTTTCAGAAAATATTGTCCATATTCATAAAAACAAATTAAAACAAATAAAAGCATTTGAAACTAAATAATATATTTGTTTTATTGAGTTTTGTATGTTACAATTCACAGCTGATTTTCAGACGTTGGCCAAAAAAAAAAAAAACAAAAAAAAACATGATTTGCATTCTTCAAAGCCTTGTGATTTTAACTATTGTAATCACTAAAACCGATGGTCTCAAATTTCTAGAGTTTTTCATAAAATTAGTTATGGGGGTGATAATAAATATAAAAAAAAATATTTCTGCCATGACTTTAATAAAAAAAAAAACATATTTATAATAATTTCGATCATCTGTGAATAGTTTCTGAAAGTTTCATTAACATCTGACAATTATTTTTATTTTTGCAAGATTTTCCAAATTAATGTGTGTAAATACAAACGCGTTAAAAATTATCTATGTTATTTACTACCCCTTGTTGCGACAAAGAGAAACAAGGTTTTTTAAATAAAAATTTAGAATATTCTAAAAAGATGGAAAAATTTTAAAAAATAATTAAAAAAAAATTTAGTCTATCCTCTTCATAAAAACATAAGCATTTTGACGATAAAATTTTGTTTTCATAAACTTTGGCGTCTTTTTGATCAGACTATGCTCTATGTTCTAGCGATTCCGTGGAGTGACTTAGGTTAAAAAACCCAGGTTGTTTGTGTGTGTTCCTTTATATATGGGATCGGATTTCTTACATTTTTCAGCCGATAAAACAAACATCCACTTTTTTTTTTTGGCAGGTAGTGTTTCTTATTGTCTTGCACTTTTTTTCTTTATTTTTACATTCAGAATGCTTTAAAAAATTCCATTTACAAGACAATTGTTTATAATAAAATTCTAATTCTATTCAATCGGGGGACACATCATAAGGATTGAAAACAATGTTTTTGTTTGAGTTTGGGTTTGACCAATTCATAAAAAAAAAAAAAACTAAAACATGCGTGTCCGTCAACCTAAAACAATAATCTAACGATCTCTACTGATTGTACGAATCGAAAAATCAGATAATTCTTTATCTTTAGGGAAAGATAATTCCACGTACTTTAGGGCCGTTTTTACAATTCCCTTTGCAATTTGTTACAAGGCAGATCAATAAGGCATTGGTTCTATTTGAAATTAATTCAATATTTAAAAGAAAGTATTAAGAAATAATTTAAAAATGCCGACGTAAGAAATCTGATAGACAAAAAACAACAATATTTCGAAGATGATAATTATTAATTATACAGTACTTGTAATAAAATTAATAAACCCAAATAAAGTTAATATTTTTTGTATTAGAAACAACGAGTGGAAAATATATTCAAATCAGGATTCTAATTATGAATCACCACAAGCAAAATATGCAATTTTTTTTACTGTATTCAATAAGTAAAAATCATAAATTGTAAAAGATTACAAAGAAAGGCTACCTACATTTTTCAACCGATTTCAACAAAACTTCACTTTTTTTTTGGCAGGTAGTGTTTCTTATTGTCTTGCACACTTTTTTCTTTATTTTTACATTCAGAATGCTTTAAAAATTCCATTTACAAGACAATTGTTTATAATAAAATTCTATTCACCAATCGATAGACTCATAACGATTGTAAACAATGTTTTTGTTTGAATTTCGGTTTGACCAATTCGTAAAAAAAAACAAAAAAAAAACACAGACATGCGTGTCTGTCAACCTTAAACAATAATCTTTGTCAATTTTATTTTTCAGTTTTTATGATGGTCGATACTTGATCTATCTCTTACTGTTACATCCCCGGGCAACGCCGGGCTCTACTGTTAAATAAATAAAAAGGAAATCAAATCTTGATTTTCTAGGCAAGTAGGCCATCCCCACTCAGATGACTGATGTGAGACAATCTTTCTATGCCCATATTGCTTTGTGCCATACTAAGTTATGCTTAGTAAATATCAAAAGTTATTTGCCTGAGCAGTCAGTTCCAACTACATGAAAAGTTTGTACAGACTTTTAGGAACCAAAGAAATCTCTTACCAAGTCACAAACAGCTTAAAAAAACATGTGGTGATAAATGCAGTTTAAGTCTGGCAAAAAAAAAAGAATATATTTTTTTAATTATTTTAAAAGAGAAAACAATATCTCTTTCTACATCAGATATTAAAATAAACATCTCAAAAATTTGTTACATTAAGAAAACCTTTGCAATCACATTATCAATCACATCTCCCAGAGTGAAGGGACTAAGAATAATTTTATTTTTATTTGACAATGACCAAGTGTTTTAATTCGTTTCATTTAGTGTCAACAAAAAGCAAACATTAACTCACTTCTCCATAAGAGTAGACACCTTTTTTGTGAAGTATAGGTCCACCATCTCCTCGGCATACAGCTGATGCATGTACTCCATGTTTATCTGGATCTTCCAGCAGAAATGTCCGTCCATAAGTGGGTACACCAAACAAAAGCTTGCTGGCAGGAAAACCTTGTTCTAAGTAATAATCAATCAGTCCACTCTGAAATAACAAAAATACAAAAATTGGAATTTTTGTTAGATAAAATATTTTATTTAGTTGTCATTTTGAAGATTCTACAACATAATAATTGTCTGTGAATACCATTATTATTTTTATTTTATTGAGACAAAGAATTACCATTTGCTATTTAGAACAACATGTTCATCTTGGTTTATGTATTCACAATGTTTCAGTTTGTACTGGTTTAATAAATTTATCGGTATTTTGAAGACAGTGAGTTATCATTGTTAAATGCTTTGCAGACCTGTATGTTTAACTTGGTTGTTATACTAACAATGTCTCAGTTGCTGTACTCTCTGAGCTTCTTCAGGTGTCTGTCTTCATATTCAGTAAACTTTTGGGAATTTTCAATTCAATCCTTTATTGAATGATAGATTGTTTTCTTTCTGCTTTCTATGCTTAGGGGAGATAACTCATATCAGTTAATACTCACCAGTCTTATTCACCTTCATGCTGCTTGTTCGTTTCTTTCACTAAACTAGAGTATATGACTTTTTAGCACAACCAGACCAAGAGATTGAACCAGAAGCAATATTTATGTGACTATCCATCTACTAACAGCTCAATGCATAAACGTAAATGCAAAAAAAAAAAAAAAACAGAAAATCTTTAAGATCCACTTTGCAATCAGAAGGTGAGTTCCAAAAACCCAACACTTGAAAGATTGCATTTATATGTTGGTTTAAAAAGAAAAAAGTATGATCTGAACAATTGTTGGACAAATTTCTTCTGAAAGTTAGAGACGATATGATCAATGTTTATAATCTTATGGTTTCAACATCTGCATTTATTTTAATGACACTTTATTTTAATGACACATTCAGATATTTACTTCAAATAAAAAAAATCTTGTATATGCAAACAATTATTATTTTTATCATCCCATTTGAAAGGGTATGATGTTTTAAAATATGATTTCATTTATAATTTTACTTATTGAGATTAAAAACAAATTTTAATGATCGGGAAGTGTTGTGTGCATCATGGAAAACATTTTTCTTTTATATGTACAAGAAAATCCTGAAATAAAATGATTTACTGAAAAAAAGAGTAAGGGAACAATACAACCAGTGAAAAACAACAGCAGCTAATCGAGCCAAATTTGCTATAAGAAAAAATAACAAAAATAGTATTTGTTTTTTAAAAAAGTGATGTTAATGCTAAGCTACACCTGAATATTACAATATTTGAAAGAATGATAAAATAATAAAATAAATTCAATGAAAGCAAACCTTATCGAAATCATTTGCATAGGAAAAATAATTATGCATTATGTTAACAATTTTGTAAATAGATAAAAATAAGTTAAAAGTAAAACCTATTTTTCTTGCCTTTTAAATAAAGACCATGTCAATAGAACAAAAACACTAGGCTTAGGATATCAAAACTTAACATTAAAAATCAAGAAAAAAAACAGATAGATACTGTAAAAATTTCAGCAAAGTGTAATATTCATGCCTGAAAAAAAAAAACAGTGTTTTAAGGACAGTATTTCCCTTGACACCACTATTACATTACCTTCACTTCTTCAGTAATTTTTATTGTCTTAAAAAGTGATGATTAGAATTTTAATAAAACTCAAACATTGAAAGTGAATTTATTTTCTTTGTTTTTTGAGAATTTACAACAAAAATATTAAACAACAATTAAGACTAACACAATATTTATCATTTACCAATTTATAAAGAAATAAATATGAAAACAATTTTTTATTCATAAATTTATAAAATTTACTAAATTATAAAAACCAACTATATTGAAATTTACTGTTTTTTACTTTTACAAAGTTTGAATCGATTGGCAATTCGCTGGTATTATTCCAAAGAATATAATTCACCAGCTTTGACAAATTCTTTAGTCAAGCTGCTTAGTGTCCACTCTTCATTTAAGATTTCTTCATCAGTCAGTACTTGGCTGACAATAGATAATCTATTGACAGATTTTCTAGGCATTTTTAAAAAATTTAAAATAATTTTCAAAAACAGTAAAAAGGGAGGTAACCTTTAATTGCTGGACTTTGAGGCATTGGATTTCTACTGATTAAGAATCCTATATCACGATTATAAAATTGGAAAATTAAAACAAGTAGTCTGAGATATAAAATAATTTGAGAAGAAAATATATATCTAGAAAATTCATGTTTATTTAAATTTTCTTGCTCTATATTTGATAGACATGTTTGTAAAATTACAAATAACATAGTTATCTATAAAATGGTAAATAAGAAATATAGCATCATAGTTGGTTTATATTTTGAAATTTTGTAGGTTTTTATAAATTTCTGAATAAAAAGATTTCTTTTCAAATTTATTTCTTTATAAAATCGTAAATAATAAATATCGCATTGTACTCAATTTACATATTTTTATAATCTTGTAAACAAACATTGCCAAAATTTCAATGTTTATTCTTATTATTATTCAAATATATTTTAAGGATTTAATTTTATTTCTTCCTATTAATATATTCTACTTACTCTTGGTACTTTGTTTTGTAGTTGTAAAATCCAAGACAATGAAGCAAAATGAATAATTGCAACCATTCTCTTAAATAGAGTCAAACTTTGTGTCTGTCATAGTTAAAATAAAAACATTTTCACAAAAACTCACCACACTATACAGTTGATTCTCTCCTTTAATAGGGTAGAGTGCACTATTAAAGCTTGTGACAGTATCCACATTTTTTATGAACATGTGAAAATCATAGGTCATTGCTGTGGCAAAATCAAGAGTGCTGTCAAAAAATATTAAAAAAATGAATGAAATTAACATTAAAGAGTCTCTAGTTAAAGTACATTGAAAATACATGTTATTAAAATGCAGTAATATCTAAATAAATTAATTCTGATAGCTTTATTTTTCTTTGTATTAAAAAGCATATAAAAAACTATTATTATTTTGTATTTAATTAATATGTTAGCAAGAGAAAACAGATTCAACACAAAAAAAATTATTTAATAGAATTGTTTATAACACATCTTGAGAAATTCTCAAATAAAAATGGCTTTAAACCAAGAAGTTTAGTTGCATATAACTAAGTTCATTTTTGCTTATAAAAGAAGCTTTAGGACATTTTAGAAAAGTTTTAATTGTAGAAATAACATTTCGTTAAAAAAAATGAACATTTTTTCTACATTGAATGAAAAAAAAAGTGTAATGATCTTAAAAACTAAGAATGGCAGAGAGAAATTTCATTTATCTTTATCTACTTTATAATTAAAGAATAAAATGCTTCAAAGATAATAAATAACTCCACGTGTAGGATTTTGTAGAATATCTCTTGATAAAAAAATAAATGAAATCTTACTTAGCAAGAACAGTCATATTATAATTATTTATTTTCGATTTGGAGTTTGGTAAAGCAGCAGTCAGTAGTAAGGGAGTCCGTTGCCAAGATTGTGACTCATTCATAATGGCTTTCCGAAATCCCTAGAAGTAAGATTTGTAAGAAAATTGGGAGAACAAATAAAAAGATAAACAAATAATGAATTAAAAACACAAGTTTGATTTCATCAATAGAGAAAATTTTAGTAAATTGCTAGAAATTCAACATCAACATCAGCTCATTAGAAATTCTCAAAAATAAATAAGATCATGACATAATTTACTATAATGAAGAACTTTCATTTCATAATTATTCTATAATGAAGAACTTTCATTTCATCTGAAAATTAACACATTCACTGATGCAGTGTTACCTGGCTGTACTGGCCTGTTTTGAGAAAAATAAGAAGTTGTCATTTACTAGAAAGAAATGATTATAAAGACAATGACAGCGATTTGTTATGGGTGCTGGCATTTTGGTTTTAATCGGATACAGTACAGACTAAGCTAAATGACACCCACAATGCAAAATGTAATAAAAAATAAAGTAGTTTGGATTGCTATTGTATGTTTGCAATGATTTGGAAATAGTACTAAGCGCTAATTAGTTTCTAAGTTAAACATTAGTGACTAATATTTCATGATGTCTTGAGACCATATATGTACATTGACAGCAGGAAATGAAAGTTTTGTAAAGATGTATAAGTGTGTCCACAGCAGTAGAAGTGCTATGTGTTATGATGTTCATTTGGGGTTAATAAAGACAAACGCCAAATAACACGTAACAATAAAAAGGGGTTTATTTGGTTGGTAAGTAGGTACAGAAATTGCCTGAGTAGTCTATAACTAGCTCAGCCAAGAACTTCTCTGACTCTGTCTGTCTTTTGACATGCCACTATTTAACGTCTTTGTTTGTAGACAAGTTCATCTTCAAGAGGGGTGGTAGGTTTCCTACACAACACTATGAAAACTATGAAAATATATACACAAACTTTTTCATATTTTTCATCATCATTATTATAAAAATTAGCATGGCTGTTTTTTTTCATATTTGATTTTGTAATGTCAAGATTAGTAGTTATAAAAACAAACTACCAATTTAATGACATAAGACATGAAACGTTAGTTTTTCAGTTATGAATAAAATTAGAAATGTTCAGATTGTTTATAAACATAAGTTTGCATGAATTCAGGACAAGATTTCTAAAACTATTCAATAAGTTTTCAATCAGTAAATACATGAAAAGGAATAAATTCAGTATAAATAAATAAATAGGTGAAAATTATAGACTTACTACAAGAAAATTGGAATATTTTACTTTTGCAGATGCCGGAGGGAATTCCCAATCTAAATCAATTCCATCAAACCCGTATTCTCGTAGGAAGCTAATAGATTGTTTGTAGAAACTAATGAAAACAATAAACAATTTCATATTTAATTTTGTATACATTAATTTCATACAAAAGTTTCAATTCAATGTTTGTTAGAAAAAAGAAGATAGATAATAATTTTTTTAAATAGAAAAACATAAAAACATTGTTACAAAAACAATCAATTGTCAGAAATTAAAAAAAAATAAAAGCCTCTATTTTGGCATTAAACTTTTGATCTTCAGGTAGTTTCAAATAGTTATTTTACATTCAATTTTTCGAGATTATATGTTCATATGTGTTGTGTAGTTGATTATGCATCTCAATGATAAATTTATGATGTTCCATAGAATTCAACAACCAACAACTTCAAAATATGATCTGATTTAAGTTAAGGATTTCTTGAAAGTTTGCAATGAATTTAAATGCCAAAAGGATTATTTTTATTGTTTTGAATATATTTACTGATTCAAATTCAGATAATAAATTTGTTATGCAAATGAGATGGAAAATGTTCTTTCATTATAAACTGTCACATTAGACAAGACATGTAATTATAATAGCACTAAAATAATAAACTTTTGCTTGACAGTTTTCAAAAAATAAAATCAAAATGTTTTTTGATTATTTTTGAAAAATGGGGAATAACCTATAAACAAAATTTCTGAAAGTTTGATACAATAAAAATTGGACAATATATTTTCATGTAAGAGAAATATGTGGATTGGTGCAGTCTGTAGTAATTCAAAACTGTTCATAGGAATTTCACACTAAATTGAAAAATTATAAATCCAATGTCATTACACATTAATATCTTTTTTTTGTGAAAAAATATTTTATGAATTGGAAATATGTTAATAAACAGCTATAATAAAATATGATAATTTCACAATTGCTTCTGTATAAAACTATTTCCTTTTACTGGAAACAACGATTTTTTAATAAAATGACACATTGGTTGTTTTACAAGCAAGTCAAACATTTTTAATAAAATAGATTGAAACTTACATAAGTGTCATTGTCCACTGGAATGTTAGATGTCATTGTGATGTCATGCACAACAACATATGAATGTTAATTGATGGGTTATATGAATTTGGCAGTTATGTTGTGAATTATTAAGGCTAAAAAAAAAATCTGTATTTGTTTATTATGAGAGCAATAGAATATGTTTTGTCGAGATGAACAGAAATATTGTTAAGATGCTATATTTAATGTTGACTGATGTAAAACATCAATCAACATTAAATATGCATTTAATTTCAGGGATAATAAAATAAGAATAACCTACCGGATTGGAGAATTCATTTGTGTATTTGGTGACATACTAATTGTGAGTTCAATTTCTGTGTTGGGAGTGTGTGACACTATTTAGCTATGGTAATTGGCTAATTAACCATGGAAATTAAAACAGAAAATACTTAAGTTGAAAAAGAGCTATCCTGAAAGATATCCCGATCAATGTAAAAAAAAAAAAAAAAAAATGATTTTATTTTATTTACAAAAAAGATACTTTTCACAAAAGACAGTAAACCCATGGAAAAAGCCATATGTGAGGTTTTGTCAGGTTGTTTAATGTCTTGCTGAGGGAGATGGGAAGAAAGGCAAATATTAAGATATCGGCCAGACCATAAATTTGGCTTGAGACGATCGCTGATACAGGCAGGGAGAATCAATGTTAATTATCTTTCCAAGATATTGTTCATTTTTTTCTTGGCCACTGGCAAGGAAAAGCAATGTGGCAATTATAAAATTTTGGCATTGTCTTGACATAGGTGAGAGGGTTGTTATTATTTACCTTATCAAGTGTCACTTCAGGCACTGAAACGTTGAATAGCAATATGATGTTTGTATAATTTTGGCATGAGACAGAAAATAGAGTAGAGAATTGAGATTTGGTGAGATAAAAGAATTTAATTTCTCAACAAGTCAAGGATTCCATTATAAAGCTAATTTCACAAAGGGACCAGATGGCAAACTTTGACAGTGATTGATGGAGTCGGCTAAGTGAATTCTGGGTGTCCAAAAGATATGATAGAAATTTAATTGGCAATACGGAATTCGTAAATATTTTGGCCGATGGAAAAAAGGAGAATTTTGTAAACAAAAATTCTAGATTATAATTTTAAGGAGGCCAGCTTAGCCACACCCACATGGCCGGGATGCCATTGGTTGAGTGTAAGCAATGGTGATAGGCCGAGGTGAATGGATGAGAAAGACGGAGAAGTTATTAACACCCACTGAAGAGATTGGTATGAGATATCAATGAGAGAAAAAGTCTAGAGTGATAGCTCTCCCCCGATCTTCCCTCATGGACAACAGAGACCCCACCGAAATGGAAAGTGATTAATTTTCCAAAAATGGGAAGTAATCAAATTTCCTGGCCTAACAATAAAGAGATTTCTTGTTAGAAATCAAAATTTACCGAGAACCCCAGGCCATGTCTGGCTCCACACCAGGTTTTGGTCCGTACCCATATAAACGAACATCCTTGGGTTGTTCGGAGAGTTCTGATTTCTGAGTTGGAGTCGCAGTTGAGCTGGTTTTGGAGTTAGAGTCAGACCTTAACCAGAGTGTTGCCTCACAGAAGCTGACTGAGAGATTCTACGACCTTTGACTTCGCCAATCCTACCAATAGCAAGTTATACTGATGAATGAAGCCAAAGCCAAAACCTAAGAACTAAATCAGTTGATTTAAGATACCAACTTGCTTGAAACATAAATGTGTCACATTTCGTAGAAAATGGGCTGGGAGAAAAACACACTCCTGTATATAATAGAAGGATAAAGTTAATTTGTTATTTCTTAACATACTTGAACTTCTTGGGTTTTTCTTTTATTTATTATTTTTTCCTTTGCGCTTGTGTGATACCACCTTCCGTCTGGACTCAGCCTACACTACGGCCCAGCGCCTGATTAATCTCATCTACCTAAGATTAAAGTTACAATGTGGGTAGGTTAGACTTGAGATCAAAGCAGTTACTCCAGTAACCAGACGTTACAATAGAGCTGGTATTGAACTGGTACAGCTGGTGAAGCCATTAACATTGACGACCAGAATTTGACCCTGGACGGGCCAGTGTCCCATATTAGTATCCTGACCAGGGGATTTCGCCGAATAGCGATGACCACCGATCGACCGGGACACAGGCTGGTGGCGACAAAAAGGATTCAACCCCAAAACGCCAGTAGAAGAAACATTACAGTTTTGTGCTGCGACTGGGAGTTGACCACGGGTCGACGGTTGGGTGTCACAAGTGGAAACAGGGCAAGAAATAAGTCAGCAGCACCAAAAGAACAAGACAAAATATCTCCAAGGAGTGACAGAATAATGAGAAAAATCTACCTCCATACATTGAATCAAGGGTTCAGTACAAAATTCCCTCAAGTTTATCCAGATAAACAGACATCTGAAGAAGGCTGGAGGGCACAATGGCTGAAATGTTGGGATAATAACAACAAAGATGAGGATATTAATCTCAATGTAAATAACAAATATGGCCTTCTGTTTTTGCAGACATTTGAAGTTATATGTATTTTTAACTCAGTCAAGTAATTGACAAACTAGACATTTTGAAGGCAATAATGCATCAGGTAACGGTTTTCAATGACAGTAAAGAAAATCAAATTTCTATAAAAACAAAAAAAATGGTCAAAAGGAAATATCTAGATCGCACAAATATCTTTTGGTCACACAAACCTTGTCTCTTTTATATTTATATTTGATCTTCACTGCGTTGCCTTCCTAATTCAATACATAGCTATCTATATCTCTTTTCCTCATGCATGGCTATTTATTTTAGGGGAAAAAAAACTATGGCAAAGTGGAAAAGCTTTTTGTGTGACGTGTTTCATCCTTTATGACTTCATCAGACTAAAGTGATATTTATGTTGATGTAATTACATATACACATGAAGGACAGAGAATTTTAAATTGAAATGAATTTTTTTTATTATTATTATGTTTTGGGTTGATTTCATTTACATTTTTTTTTTTTTGTTTCAATCGCTTTTGTTATTAAATATCCCACATTATGATAATAAAATATCTGACAAGAAAGGTGAAATGTTGTAAGAACCCAGACATAAAATTACCGTGGATGGTCTAGCAATTAAAGCACTTTCTATATATTTTTGTCTTAGTAAATTGCTTTCTGAAATTGGCTAGATTATATACCCAAAAAATATATTTAAAAAAAAAATTTAATTTAAAATTCTGTGTAGTTGCATCAACATAGATATCACTTTTGTCCAATAAAGTTACACAAAAACTTTTTCCATTTCGTTTTTCTAAAATTGTTCTTGGTATATAAAAATTTATCTATTCCTCATAAATAGGTCTCTATAAACATTTCTACTACTATTTTATCTCAGTCCATCAAAGCATTTGTTATTCAAAATTTGTAATCCATACAAAATGGTACAAAATTCCATATAGAATTAGCTTATTTATACAAAGATTTTGTTTGCCTGAATATATTGTCAGTTGGTAAAAAAATAGAAAGGTCAATTTGCAGTTTTACATCCATAAATAATCATATTTGTCTCATGCAATTTTTAAAATTGTTCCCTATTAATACACTATATCAGTGATTCTCAACCACCATGCCATGGCACACTAGTGTGCCATGTGATCCTCTTAAGTGTGCCACAAAAACTTATCATGGCATATATGTATGTGTAGAAGTAGTAATGGTACAGCATTTGAATAAATAAATAAGTATTAAACATTTTATCCCACATTAGCTATAAAGTATTTATGTAAATTAGACTTCTCAACTCTAAATAACATGAAAAATAAGCAAGAAAGGCTACGCTCAATTGAAGAAGAAATGAGTGTCTGGTTATTGCACATTCAACCAAACATTGAAGAAATCGCGAAAAAACACCAGGCACAGGTTTTACACTAAATAAGCTGCACAAATAGTTGAATAGAAACATTGAAATAAGGTAAGTTCATATTTGTGTGTGTATTTTTAAAAAATCTATGGTTTTATTTCATAACATTTAAATGTATACCCTTTAAAAATTTTGCT